AGACTCTAGATACTCAGACGACTGCCGCGTATTAACAATGTCTTCGGATGCTCTTTTCCCCCGATAAGTCCAACTGCAGCGCTAGAGCCATAGTCGCCCGTCTGTCGTGATTTGGCGATGCACGGTTGCGTTTCTGGGACGGCGAATACACTACAGTAATTCATTGTAACGAACTTCACGGTAAAACCAAACACTCAGGGTCATGTCGCAGAATCCAACATTGGAGAAAGGGATGTGTTCGAAGTCGGGGTTAGATTCCGCAGGCCGTACAGAATAAAAGTCGCTCACAGGCCTGACTTAACAGCCCGTCGCGAGCTGATGCGTCGGGAAGAACCATACACTGCCTGACCCCTGCATCTCACGATTAGACAGTAAGCCCAAGAGGCATCCTTTCCAGTGCGCAAACGTCATGCTCAAATCAGTGTCTGAGAATCTGGTCGACATGTATTGACGCCAGCAAAAGTCACGGTCGGTAACCCACGTCGACCAAGGAGGATAGAACTTTGCCGGTATCTAAGTCGTAGAGTGAACGGACGATCCCACGGGAAATTATGTTTTCCCAACTAACCGCTCATTCGACCGCCATATCGACTTGCCTACCCCGCCTGTTTTTCTCCTCACCTAACCGGGGGCATTCAAGACATCCTCTTATAGGACAGCTTAATGCAAAGATTATAAGCACATTGCTAAAGTTTTCAAAATATTCTACCAGGGGGAATTTTCTTAATCGCCTCCAATGCCTTGTAACTACTCGTGAACTAGTCCAGTATCTTGAAGGGAATAGTCCAGCATTTTTTAAGGGTAATATATATTTTTTGAAAACGTTATCAAGTTTTTATTCAGCGATATTCAAAATGGCAGTTAAGGAGCAGATGTAGGCTTTCAATAAATATCGGGCTGTTTGCACTCCTGACTTCACCTTTGGCCAGTCATGCAGGGAGGTGTTCCCGTATTCTTTTGGATAAGCACCGACTTGTGCGACCAATATGCCCTGCTCCACAGTAGCAAGTAAATGATTAGATGCACATAGAAGTGGTCTGAGCTGGCAGCCTTTCCTAACCTTCGCCGTGCAGGACTGGATTGGTTGAGAATAACACCCGAACTTTCGCTGTTTGACACGGCTTGGTTAAGGCGTTTGTTTAGAAGTTCACTTGCTGCATCACCTTGAAAGAGGACTTTGAAGAATAGCACCTTCTCTTCCGCAGTGGCTATGATGAGTTTTGTTTCTCTCTCCATCATATTCTTTATGCTGAATCTGTCAGAATACCCGTGTTTTAACTCATAGATCTGATTGCTGAGTTGAACTTTGTCCAGCTTGCCCATGAAGATATTAATCAAGAGAGGCCCGAGAAGCGAGCCCATAGCAACGTCGTCTGTCTGTCTATATAGTTGGTTGTCAAAAAAGAACTACACATTTAATGTGCATCTTATTAGCAGTTCTATGATGCACATTAAATGCGCAGTTCCTTCAGCAGCACCATCAAGATATACCACTGTTTGGCCCGTCAAACGAGGGTGGTTAAGTGGAAAATTCAAGAAACTTGTTTTACAGTAGAAAGGGCAGGACTAAGGTTGTACACTATCTAACCGCGGGGAAGGGTGATCCGAACTGCAACATCGAAATAAACCGTGGGCCTCTGGGTGATTGTGTCTTTTCCGAGGACCAGCTGCAAATGAGGGCTTATAGTGCCCACATCTCGAGTCTACTTCGTTGATTGCCTTTCCTCTGGTTGCAGTCCTCCCACTAGTCCCTGTTGGCCCCCGTTGTCCATATCATAGACGAGATGACGGAGTCGCCGAGTTATCCTCTGCTGCCGTCCATTGTTTCCTTATATATTTAGGTCTTATATTTCACCTTTTGAATGATTCCAACTTTCTACTTTGTTTCCTCTGCCACCTCCCAGCTCCCGTTGCGTCTTCGCGTTCGAATCCTCTTCACCCAGAATGGTACTCAGAAGTCTGACCAGTTTCAGATCGACAATTTTCCGCCTGCCCTCTTTGCCTAGCGAGGGATCCGCTCACAATCCTGCCAACACCCCCGCCTTGCAGCA